TTATGTCTGTTTGTTTTGTTCACACATTGTTGTCAATATAATGGAGTTAATGTATACGATTGTCATAAAAGTGAGATGTTTAGCAAGCTATAATACCATGTAATCCACTATTTTCTACATAGGAAAAGCCTGTAACAAGTCAGGAATAAGACAGTTGTTTTCCATTCGTTTGATGTCTTTGAGCTTTTAATTTTGCCATTTGATAAGGGAATGTCCGTTTTGAATTATTTTCCTTGGAGTTCGGTATTTTTGTTATTTTACTTTTTATTATTTTAGGAAAATGCAGCAAACCTTTTCTAAAATATCATCAGGTTAAATTTATACATATACCGGCACTAAATTGTACATTGTTCTTGAATTGATTTATTTTTATTATCATCATTATCATATATGAATATGTATAAAATAACAACTTACCGAATGCCATAATCAGTATGACCAAACAATGGGATTGGCATAAAATCATTGTTTGATTTTCTGTAAAGAAAAAAAAATAATAAAGTTTAAGAATTAAAACTCATTAGAAGCAACTGAAAAGGTAATATTGCTTACACCTTATTTAAAGAACACATAGAAAAACGTGATTCTAGTAAGTTTCGTGTAATAATCAATTTCAAGGATTCAATTATTCCTAGGTAATTAGTCGACGTCAAACAGATCTGCATGTGTAAATAAGTAAAATTATAAGGTTCTATGGGTATTGATAATTTGTTTCGCCTAATCTATAATAGACGTAAACAAAAAGTAACAGGTTGGATGCATATTGATATTTTCAAACAAACGAATGTGGTCATGACAAATAAATTTAACAGTTGCTTTACAGCGTTACACAGCGCTCCTTGTTAATGCACAAATAGTTCAAAATTAAAACAAAAAATTAATTTACATGACCGAATACGAGTTTCATCAAAATTATTTACTGATTTACTCAAATAACAAACATACAATCATTTACAGTCAATATTATCTATATCAGTAATCACTTTGGCTGAAGTATATTTTGTGATAATTCTTTTCAACAGATACATTTACAAAGTAAACACGATTGATATTTCCCCTGTCTATCATCTATTTGTTCCGTATTTTATGTAAAGATGGTAAACCGATGTCAAGTAAAAAAAAGTTATAAAATACTTAAGGGACAATAAACCATCATAAGTCATAATTATTCAGATTGTTTAGGATGTAACTCCCTCATTCAAAGATAGGTTCCTTGTGCACATATAGCTCTTCAATACTTCAAGTATTTATATATCCTCTGCTTTGAGTGTTGCTGATGAATGTAAATAAAGATAAAACATCCAATTCATAAAGTGCTATTTTTGATTTCGAAGGAAGGCAAACAATAGAATGACAAGGAAAAAGCAGACAACTGTAAACAAATACAAAGGATTTGAACAACACTAACCCCTAAATATCTGGGGCTGAACTTAGATGCTTTGTTGGTTCCGGTTCTGTCGAGTTGTTGAAAGCCAAACTCCGAAACAGTGGTAACGTCCTCCTAGCCACGCTACGTTGACTTTAACTTTATAGTAATAGTGTAGCAAAGCAACTTCACCGCTGTTTTAGACAACGGTGACGAGCCGCATTCTGTGATGTCATAAACTAGGACGGGTGCTACGACAAATATCTCAGAATTCCATATATTAAACAAAAAGAATGATTGGAATCGATTTAATTTAACTTCCTATATAGTTGTAATTAAGCTGGTATCATATTCAATTGTATGGAATTGATTTCTGATGGAGCCCGACTCAAACCAGTTGGAAGGTAAAAAAACAAAGTTAAAATTTAGAATGGAAGCGGGGAATGTGTCAAAGAAAAACAACCCGATCAAAGAGCAGAAACAGCCCAAGGCCACCAATGAGTCTTTAACGCAGAGAGAAAATCCCGCATCCGGAGTCGTGCTTCGGCTAGCCCCTATACAATAAAACATACTAGTTCAGTGGAAATGAAAGCCAAAGTAAACTCCGAAACATGTAAATGAACCAAAAATAAAAAAACACACAAGAATAACAAAGGCCAGGGGTTCCTGACTTGGGACAGGCGCAAAAATGCGGCTGGGTTAAACATGTTTTGTGAGATCTCCACCCTCCTCCTATACCTCTAGCCAATGTGGAATAAACAAACACACAGAAATACGCACTGTAAAACTCAGTTTTAAAGAAGTCCGAATCCGATGTTAGAATGGGTAACAGAAGAAACTAAGCAAAACTACAGTGATCAACACAAATTAACAAATAACTACTAGCATGACATTGCAACTCGAGATTTAAATTAAACTTATTGAAAGATTATGTCTTCATCATATGAAAATCAACAAAAATTCCCTGAAGTCGTCATTATTTTAGGCAAATATATCAATCAAATATCTTAAATTGCTGGAGTGTCACAAATTCGTTGGAATTACTTGATAAATTGCATGCTCATATTGTTGAGCACTGAAAAGAAATTTAAAAAAAACAATGTATCAAGACATCTATCTAGGTGTAAAAAAAATTCTCTGAGTCTCAATTTATTTTAATACTTTTTAATAAATGTTTGGAAAATCCTTGACCTTTCATTTCCGCCAGCCATGAAGCTATGAAAATGCATCCCCAAAACACAATAAAACCAATGACACAATCGTAGGCTAACAAAAAATGTCTTCTTCTATAGATGAGCGTATACCATTAATGTCCAACTAAATAGGCCCGAGTCTAGTGAATAAACGTATAATACCGATTGGGTTCTGAGTAACTTTAAAATAAACTACTGAAGATCTGCCATAATGATAAACCTCTATAAAGACTGCCGTGTATAGCACGTACTCAATAGTAAACCTCTATAAAGACTGTCTTGTATAGCACGTACTCAATAATAAACCTCTATAAAGACTTCATCTATAGCACGTACTCAATAATAAATCTCTATATAGACTGTCATGTAAAGCACGTACTCAATAATAAACCTCTATAAAGACTGTCATGTATAGCACGTACTCAATAATGAACCTCTATAAAGACTGTCATCTATAGCACGCACTCAATAATAAATCTCTATAAAGACTGTCATGTATGGCACGTACTCAATAATAAACCTCTATAAAGACTGTCATCTATAGCACGTACTGAATAATAAACCTCTATAAAGACTGTCATGTATAGCACGTTCTCAATATAACATGTTGTCATTAGTTTTCATTCATCTCTATGATACAAACACCTTTCTTTAATGATGATAACACACTTTTAATTTGTTTGAATATATTCCTATTAATCTCTTTGTTCTTCTTTTTCTCATAATGAAGCTTGCGTGCTTAAACTCGACACGCGTAAAGGAATATCATTTTAGGGAAATATAAAAAAAACATAACAATAAGGTAAACAGAATACAATTATGAAATCAATTTGTTTATTACAGACTTTCCTATTTTTTCAACAATCACACCTTTTTCTTTTTTTCATACAAAATAATTTCCAGACATTTGCTATTATGTTGTCATGATTATAATTAGTTAAGTCATCTATTGTTACTATTTATTTTATAGCCTTGTTCCTGCGTGTTTCTCTGTCTACATAAAATAAGATGTGATTTGATGGATAATAAAACACCTATCCACAAAAGAGCAAATAAAGTAGATGTAAGGAACTATATGTCTACGTACGGCCTTTAGAAATGAGCAAAACCATACCGTAAAAACAGCTTTAAAACGACAAAATGTAAAATAATTCAAACGAAAAAGATCAAAGGACTGAATAATGTACAAAACAATAAACGAAAAACGAAAAACAAATATGATAAAAATTAACCAAGCGATAACCCCTTTATTACAGGTTCCTGACTTCGGACAGGCACATATAGACTGTGTCGGGATCAATCATGTAAAATAGCACTCAAACCTCAACCTAACCGAAGACAGTGGTGAAACAACACAACATGAAAAAAACTATCAAAATCAGGTTAAAAAGTTTGGTTCATGATATCGGCATAAAGGACAAAAAAAAAAGACTAACAAAAAGAGTAAAGACTCGAGATTGCTAATTAATAACTAAAACAATTTTAGTACCGATGAAAACAATATTCAGAGATCTTTTTACATTTTTAATATATCGTTACAAAAGATACAGGCAGGGGAATATCTTAAGATTGGGTCAAAAGAACATCACCCTCCAATGTAGGAAAATTAGTTAATGGGAACCAAAAGTAATTCCTTTGGCGTAACTTTTTGTACAGAGTTTCCCTTTTGAAACTGAAATGCTAAAATCTTGGAAAGGACAGATAATGCTGTTATTATTTTACGCAAAAGTATCAGCTAGGTAACGGTAAGTGCTGGAGAATTCATCAATGAAATGGAATAAAGATGAATCTTTACTGAGTTTGGACATATTGGTGAATAAAAACCAAAAACACCAATAAACTAAGTAGCCTTCGTCAGGTCTTGTTATTGTTTTCAACGATGGGCAAACGTCCATCTCGTCAGTCCTTAAGTTCTACTTATGCTGTGTTGGATGTTGTATTGTTGGCAGCTATCAAACAAAATGTATTTTAAGACAATAATGTCCCAGTATTTTTCATTAATGTCTTCTCAAGTCCACCTACCCAAGATGTCGCTGAAAATAACAAGCTGCAGATTAGTCATGTCAGCAATTTATGTAAACATCATAAATCATTTAATCTATATATGTTAAACACACCAGACTGATACAAAAAGGAAAACATGCTTTAGAAATAGCACTTTTTTCTCTTTTGTTTTCTTTGTTAACATTTAGCGTGGGCTATTCGTTTGAATTCCGGGATCTTATGCTACCTATTAACGTTACTCATTTTTTATTTTTCAAATCTGTTTGATCGAAGTTGATTACATAGCACATTACATTCGTATATTTTATACTACACAAAACATGTTTCCTTCTGTGTTTATTAATAAAAGTGTGAGAATTGCTTATTTTTCCGATTCTTCTAATGAGCCTCTCAAACTATATAAGTAAATCATCATATTTCTTTCTTTACTGTTATTCAACAATGCTTCGGTTGAAACACCATTGTTTACTATTACTTCTTATTGCATTGGGTAAGTTCTTCTCTTGTTCATTACTTAAATAACATCAGGTAATTGTATTCCAGGACTTTATCTAGTAGGTCAGGTATCTCTGTTTAACTGTTTTCTTATTATTGAAAAAATCTATATGATACTTTTGTTCAACAGTCTTATAATAAACGCTCGAGACCAAAGGAAGGAAACAAAACTAAAAGTTTTTTGAAGCAAATAAGCCAAAAGGGTATAGTAACAAAACTGACAAAGATTACGTCATATAGTTGATTAATAGATTGAAATTTTTTACTATCGTCCATTAGCTGCATGAAAATGAACAATGAGCCGTTTTAGACAAGTTGCTTCCATCCGCATAGATAAGACAGAACAGACTATGTATTATTATGAATATTGTATTGGTCAACTAGAACGTCCTTATAATGCAACCATTTCTGAACTTTCCATAGTTTACATCCCTACTTTCGTGATGAATTTTGAAAACAAAGATTATTTTAGCACAGTGGATGTCAGAAATTGCTTAATTTTCTTGAGCACTTTTTTTCACAGCAGATATTGGTTGGGTAGTGTTGCTCTATAATAGGTTTTCTATGTAGTGTTTTATGGACTGTTGTTTGGTTTTTTTGTGGGTTTATTTTGCTATGGTATTAATATGTGTTCTTCCAAATTTTTTGTGTAGAGCGTATTTTTGTTATTCCTGAAACACGTGCGTGCACGAATATCGATATTATACGTTATTATTATGGAAAGCAAATCTATAACTATATTTACATGCTAGTAATGTTGACTAAATGTATACCTTGATGTTGAATACAATTCGGAAAGAATGTTGTTAACTACATAAAATTGAAAATGGAATGTTGTAATATCGAATATACGCATATCAAATAATGTGAAGTTGTAAAAAAGTAGAGAAAAGATAGTTACGTGTCATTAGTGGATTGCAAATTGTTGTTTTTTCAACTATCGTCAAGTCCTCTTTAGGTAAACGAGTGAAAAGATACTTCAAATCAGAACATTTTCGGAGGTTGCCATGATTGTATTTTTTTTACAATCATAATAAATAAACAATAATTTACTATCGTTATAAATAAACAATGATTAACTTTTATAAGAAATAAAAAATGAAACACCTTTTGAAGCATTTTATATACATTTTTGGTGGGAGGATGGTGATGAATAAACTCATCATAGATACCAGGATTAAATTTTATATTTACGCCAGACGCGCGTTTCGTCTACAAAAGACTCATCAGTGACGCTCGAATCCCAAAAAATTAAAGGCCAAATAAAGTACGAAGGTGAAGAGCATTGAGGACCAAAATTCCTAAAAGTTTTGCCAAATACAATGGCAATGTTATGTTTGTAATACTTTCTCCCTAGTTATATAATTATACGAATAGAAATACAGTGTTGTGTTGAGATTTGAGTAGAAAAAGCTGAATTATCACTTCACAAATTAAAATTTGTAAGAGAACTTCTTGACTCGTTTAAGGTAATAAAAAAAAAACCTAACTCTTAATCTGACAAAAAGGATGCCTTTTCTCCCTGATTTAGTCTAAGATAGTAGTCATTCTCAAAATGTCTTCTTGGTGACTAGTTTTATTCGGGAATATCATTCCATCAGCAAAGACAATGGTTAAGATCCTAAAATATAAACATATGATACCGATTTCGATGCGTTATATGATATACATCTGAAACTTCATACGTGGAAACCTACTCACCATAATAGATATACGCGAAAACTGGCATGACAATACGGATATTGTTTTATTGAAATTTATCGTTAAAAAAAAAATTAAAAATACTTTAATTAAGGAATAAATATTTCCTATTCCTTGTACGAGTTCGGTTATACTTCCAGTCCTTTCGGTTTATCACTACTTTAATGTTGTATCATTTTTTGGACTTTCAATATTTTTTTTGCATCGGGCATCACTGATGAGACTTTCAATGTTACCTAATAAATAAGACAATATCAATGGAGGAATAACATTAAAGGTAAAACGACAAATAGCGGGGAATAGACACTTTATTTTCCATTTTAACATAAAGATATCAGTGGCCGACGCATGTCTTAAAACATGGCGTTTACCAGTTTTCTTGTTGAAGGTCGGTGTCTCTCTGCACTTATTCCAGCTTTCTACACCAATATCAACTGACAATCATAAAGCCAATGTTGATGAAAGTGGCGTTATACACCCAAAAACTAACACACACGCCTATCAATCATTGCCATCCTGTGATATTTTAACATAAGTCAAAGAAAACTGATTCCAATTGTAAAGTTCGATAATTGAAAATAAGAATAAGGAATATATACCTTTCTTTAGCAAAAGGACAGCGATATGATGACGATAACGACGGTTACGATCATGGCGGTTACGGAAATGGTAAAACAAAAATCATAGTAAATAAAGGACATGGATACGGTTACGATAACGGCGGTTATGGAAATGGTAAAACAACAAAAATTATAGTAAATAAAGGACATGGATATGGTTACGGTTACGGCGGTTATGGAAATAGAGGACATGGATATGGTTACGGTTATGACGGTTATGGAAATGGTAAAACCAAAATTATAGTAAATAAAGGACATGGATATGGTTACGGTTACGGCGGTTATGGAAATGGTAAAACAACAGATATTATAGTAAATAAAGGTCACGGATATGGTTACGGTTACGGCGGTTACGGAAATAGAAGACATGGATATGGTTATGGTTACGACGGTTATGGAAATGGTAAAACAAAAATTATAGTAAATAAAGGACATGGATATGGTTACGGTTACGACGGTTATGGAAGTGGTAAAACAAAAATTATAGTAAATAAAGGACATGGACATGGTTACGGTTACGGCGGTTATGGAAATAGAGGACATGGATATGGTTACGGTTATGACGGTTATGGAAATGGTAAAACAACAGATATTATAGTAAATAAAGGTCATGGTTATGGTTACGGTTACGGCGGTTATGGAAATAGAAGACATGGATATGGTTATGGTTACGACGGTTATGGAAATGGTAAAACAAATATTATAGTAAATAAAGGACATGGATATGGTTACGGTTACGGCGGTTATGGAAATAGAGGACATGGATATGGTTACGGTTATGACGGTTATGGAAATGGTAAAACAAAAATTATAGTAAATAAAGGACATGGATATGGTAACGGTTACGACGGTTATGGATATGGTAAAACAACAGATATTATAGTAAATAAAGGTCATGGATATGGTTACGGTTACGGCGGTTACGGAAATAGAGGACATGGATATGGTTATGGTTACGATGGTTATGGAAATGGTAAAACAACTGATATCATAGTAAATAAAGGTCATGGATATGGTTACGGTTACGGCGGTTATGGAAATAGAGGACATGGATATGGTTACGGTTATGACGGTTATGGAAATGGTAAAACAAAAATCATAGTAAATAAAGGACATGGATATGGTTACGGTTACGACGGTTATGGAAATGGTAAAACAACAGATATTATAGTAAATAAAGGTCATGGATATGGTTACGGTTACGGCGGTTATGGCAATAGAGGACATGGATATGGTTACGGTTACGACGGTTATGGAAATGGTAAAACAACAAATATTATAGTAAATAAAGGACATGGATATGGTTACGGTTACGGCGGTTATGGAAATGGTAAAACAAAAATCATAGTAAATAAAGGACATGGATATGGTTACGGTTACGGCGGTTATGGAAATAGAGGACATGGATATGGTTACGGTTATGACGGTTATGGAAATGGTAAAACAAAAATCATAGTAAATAAAGGACATGGATATGGTTACGGTTACGACGGTTATGGAAATGGTAAAACAACAGATATTATAGTAAATAAAGGTCATGGATATGGTTACGGTTACGGCGGTTATGGCAATAGAGGACATGGATATGGTTACGGTTACGACGGTTATGGAAATGGTAAAACAACAAATATTATAGTAAATAAAGGACATGGATATGGTTACGGTTACGGCGGTTATGGAAATGGTAAAACAAAAATCATAGTAAATAAAGGACATGGATATGGTTACGGTTACGGCGGTTATGGAAATAGAGGACATGGATATGGTTACGGTTATGACGGTTATGGAAATGGTAAAACAAAAATTATAGTAAATAAAGGACATGGATATGGTTACGATTACAGCGGTTAAATAAAGATAAAAGATACAGCGACAATGCATAAAATTAAGGTAAGAACAAAAGATACAACTCCTCAGGTAAGGTTAACGTAAATAGGATTTGAACGGTTCTGTTGGGACGTTTTTGTCTTCAATGCTTCTTACCATTTTTGTCAAGTATATCAGATTCATTTTAAGTAAATATGCATAGACATCTTTCTTACGTAATAAGATATTCAAATAAAATTTTCCAGATTTCGGTTTTTTCGTTAAAAGTAGAAATTTCCCATTTCCGCATTAAACAGATTAGCGAAGCTCCAAGTTTTAGATGGGCATACTGATGCTCAATATTTTTTTCTCTGAGTAACTTTTGTGCATTTTTTTTTTAGAGTAGAAGGGAGGAGGGGTCGCCTTTTGTATTTTGATCAAGACATTGTCTGTACTCTTACTTGTATTTTTATACCCCCTTTGGAGCATCGTCTTATTTTAGATTTTATATACTAAAATGGATCAAAATATATTAAATTATATTGTTCCTTGTGATTATCAAATATTTTTCTGTCAATATCGCACAAACACAAGCGCTCGTATTTGCAATTTATTTCCTGGCATAGACAGCTTTTAAGATAGAAGGCAATGACAAACTATTTCATAAATTATGTTGAGGAGTAAAACCTGCAAATTTATGAAGAAAATCTCTCGAAAAGTATTAAATGATAAAAGCAGAAAACGTAAACGGAAGGAAACACGATTTGATATGATTAATTGGTGTTTAACGCCACTTTAAGCACTATTGTGCTATTTCGTAGCGGTCAGATTTTATTGGTAGAAGAAGCCGGTGCCCGGGCTAAACTACTGAACTTCGTTTGGAAAACTGACAATCCTAGTCAAATAAGATTGGAGTCGAGCGCACCTGCCACGTGCGGGATTCGAACTCACAACCCCAGTGTTGACAGGCTACTGAAACCGTAGTTCGACTACTTTTCTCTTGATAAAATAAAATTATATTCAAATATGAACAATAAAAATTCACCAGACAGTCAACTTCTTAGACCACTCTGCCACCGATGCCCCCTAATGAATGAAAAAGAGACAAGGTCACTTATTATCAATGAATTTCATTTCCTATAAACATAGATTGTATACAGTAGATAAAGTGAAATCGAAAATTGTCACAGTTTGTTATAAAACATATTTACTATTTAAGAAAATAAGAGCATTTTCGTCATTTGTGATACTCCATGAGGTGAGTCAATTCCCTGTTTATCACAAATAAAATAATTACAAAAGCAAAAATAGAAACAAAAGAAAAAACACCAAATGGGAAAAATATATCAAACAAAAGCATTTCCCACGTTTGATGAATGATACATCTAACTGGATAAGAAGTCATATCATCAAAATGGGGAATAAGTTAAAGTATAGGTCACGGATTCGTCTTTCCGTTTTGAATTTCCCTTAGAGTTCGGTATTTTTGTTATTCTATTTTTTTCGCAAGCTTCATAAAATGAGAATGTTGATAAGAATAGAGCAATGGAAAACCATCAATCATCATCAAGCTAAATATCATATCGATACCGAAGCTCTTAAATTCGTTTCCTGATCGATGTAACATTTTTATACTTAACAAACTTCATGGCTTTTAACTCAGATGTCAATGTTTTCTTGATCGTTCGTCGATTCTACTCTTTCTTTCGTGTTTATGAATAATTTGTTGCTTGAAAATGCAAGTTAGAGTGAATACTTTCCCGAGAAGGTTTATCAAAGGTGCATTATTAATCACATAATTCCCTTTGCCATGATCAATATTCAACTATCGCTGTTGGCTATTTTTTACTTGCCATTAAATGTGAAATTGATCTTAGTTGTTGAAAGTATTAAATCATTACAATACCATATTGATCTGGTTATTTTTGAAACGCTATGATATTTACTCTAAAAGGGAAGAAGAGGACATGACCTGCACATCTGTTTTTTTTTTTATATCTAATTAACATTCATACAACGAATAAAAAAGAGGAATATATGTAAAGATTTCTTAACTTTCTTTTTCAGGTTGAACTAGAATGTACTGGCTATAAAGACCTTTTTCATTGCTACTTCTAATAAAAATTTTCTTCAAAGCATCTTACAAACAGATATTGTTCTTTACTTGAAACATATATATATTAAACAATTACAAACGAAAGTGAACCAACGCCTGGTGAGTCTGTAGTGAGTTAGAGTCCCTGAAGTGGATACCTCGGGTATGCAGGGTCGTTATGATGAAACACAATAATGTAGAAATATATATATTAAGTGTAAAATGAAGATATTTACTTTTACAAATTGGAGCGTTGTCTCATTGGCACTCATACCAGATCTTTTTATATCTTTGTTAGAAAATTCACAGCTGTTTTCTTTAAATAAGAACAAATTAAAAACTTTTACAACGTCCTATTGATCTATAAAATTAGTACTATTGTCTAAATGCATGGGACTGTATCACTCACATCAGCTCTCCATAAATTTGAATATCACGTCTTTGTAACGTCAAACATGCATGAATGACTGGATCTTCATAACCTGATTTATTAAAAACGGCATTTTTAACCGACTTTTTAAATTTGACTCGAATTTATTAAGTTATCATCTAGTTTGCTATTAAAAAACAAATCAAATTATTACTTTTATCATGAACATGACAAATATACAATCGTATTTATAAGTCGATTATCTGAGTCTTCGTCATATTTATATTGAAAAATATCAGCTGCTCAACACCATTATATAAAGCTTTATCAAGCTCGTTTGCTGTGCTCACTCGACAAAAAACTTCATATTGTTACTCGGAGCTGATCTCTTACAGTATCAGAATTATAACCCTAATAATCGGTTCTTATAAATATTCATGAGAATTCACTTCGGTATATACGTTTTATATCGAATTAAGATCGCACGGCCCGTGTTTCGGGAATAATGGGGACATTTTTCTTACTGAAGACTTCTTACTCACACGGTCAAATGGGGACATTTACACACGAAAGACATAAAAGACACACAGTTAAATAGGGACATTTTTCTTACTGAGGACATCTTACACGGTCAAATGGGGACATTTTTCTTACTGAAGACATCTGACACGCACGGTTAAATGGGGACCTTTTTCACACTGAGGACATCTTACACATACGGAAAATGAAGAAATTTGACAAATTTGATAAAATGACTTGAATGACCACTGATATCATAAAAGCATTTTCATTTATGGCTCAAATATAAGTCCAATACAATGACAGAATATTCCATAAGATACTACGCACAATATACATATATCCTATTTTGACTCCTCAAAATTCAAGAGTCTATCCTAAATTGAGGTAAATTGTATGGCTTTCCAAATACCGTTTCGATTCCTAACATCACTGAAGAGACATTAATTGTCGAAATCCGGATATGGTGTACAAAAACCTTTGCACCTTTTGTTTGCATTATATCATCATCTTTCCGCAAGTTAATTGTTTTCTGTTTAGTATTAAATTTATATTTAAGATCCATTTATTACATCGATGATCCGTTTATTTGGCAATCGCCAATGGCAGTCTTCAGGGTTAAAGAACATTTGTTGTTCGACCTGTTAGTCAAAATTAGTTGTTAAAATTTACTTTTTCATTTTGTTGGTCTTTTGGAAAATGTTGTTTGTGCTGTATTTAGACACCCCGAACAAGAAATTTGTTTTGCATGCACACGTATAAAAATTGCGGTTTTTATCCAACGCAATCATAGGTTTGAACGTTGTTTTCAATTTAGACTTGTATATATATATATATATATATATATATATAAGAAAATTAATACAAGATAATAACGGTTTCAATTCATCACCTAGAATTATAAACTTGTCGCATAATAAATTACAATTAAGGGAAATAAATCTTTTAAAAAGAGTATTAAAATTTACACCAACTCCAAATGAGGATAAAACACAACTTGGGAGCTGACATTGATGAATTTGGCAGAAGATTGAGGATACATTATATTATTTGTGAGGATAATGAATAAAACGAAGAAGAAGAAAATAAACCACTAGTAAGAAATATATCAGACTGGATTCCTAAACCCACAAAAGATAAAGATTTAGAAGAAACAATTAAAACATTAAAAACGAATTCACTTCAAAGCAATAAAAATGTCAAGGACAATTAAACCCACGAGGAGAAAACAGCTTTGCAAAATTTAAAATCAGATAAATCAATAATAATTAAAGAAGCGGATAAAGGTAATGCTGTTGTAATCATGGACCGTGAATATTACCGAGATAAAATTTTAAATATGTTACAAGATGAAATGTTTTATGAGGTGACAGATAAAAAAATGGACAAACAAACAAGTACAATGATTAAAAATATACTAGATAAACATAAGACTGAATTATATAAAGAAGAGATGGATTACATTTCAAACTCTAAATCATCATCAAGCTAAATATCATATCGATACATAAGCTCTGAAATTCGTTTCCTGATCGATGTAACATTTTTATACTTAACAAACTTCATGGCTTTTAACTCAGATGTCAATGTTTTCTTGATCGTCCGTCGATTCTACTCTTTCTTTCGTGTTTATGAATAATTTGTTGCTTGAAAATGCAAGTTAGAGTGAATACTTTCCCGAGAAGGTTTATCAAAGGTGCATTATTAATCACATAATTCCCTTTGCCATGATCAATATTCAACT